AAATGACATATATGCTTCATGCAATAAATATGGAAACCAGTTAACTTTCTGATTTCTAAATGGTGCTAGGTTGCCATATTGCTTCTCACTGAGATCACTCCAAAGAGTATAGCTGTTCATAATCCCACAGAAGTTGCCAGATTTGTGGTAAGTTTTTTCTTTTCTTCCCCCATTATTTGGGTCTTTAAATTTCACTACAGCCAGATGTGTGTTAAAACAGCATTGCTTTTTTTTCCTATCTTTCATTTTCTATGCTTCATGGCTCTCTTGGTAATTTTCCAAAGTTACATTACCAATTCGAAATTGGTGACTAATTGTGGTTGCAATATCTCTAGGTCAGGCCAGTGGCATGGCTTTCTGTTATACTGTATCCAGTGGGTAGAGTTGTCACATATCTATCAATGGGAATGCTCAAAGTTCTTGGTCTAAAAGGAAAAAGGTGAAAAAAATAATCACCTACATATTAATCTATCTGCAGCTTCTAACTCATCATGCATTTTCAGTGTTGTTTCTTTCCAATGGTTTATCAAGTTTTCAACATAGCCATCATTCTGTTATATGCTTTCTGAGTGCCTTATGCTTTGTCTCTTTAAATTTAGCGAACCTTATGTTACTGAAGATGAATTGAAGCTAATGTTACGTGGGGCAGAGTTGAGTGGAGCAATAGAGGAGGAGGAGCAGGTAATCATATATATCACATATTGCATAAGTTCATATGTATACCTCTGATTGAGCATTTGATTAACGCATAATATTTTTTCTGTGATAGATATTTTCTATTACCTTTTGTACTATAACCCTATCATTTGCACCCAAAATGAAATTTTCTTTGTTTCTCCCCCTTTTATATGTTTATTCAGAGGAAAATGTAAGTGGCACATACTTTATTAACTCGTTGGCTTGTTGATGGGCACAATCGATCCGAAGATATCTTATTTGTTGTTAAATAGTCTGTATGGAAAACTTTGTTCTCAGTGAACATCTCAAACTATGTTGATTGATACTAAGTTATCCGCTGGATTAGCATACCAAAACAAAAAAGAGGGTGCAATTGCTGTTTATGTTATCTTTTTATACATATATGCATGTTGCATATAAGCCCCCCTGCATGGAAGGGTGTTCTTGAAGAAGTTTTTTGGGTGGATTAAAGAGAAGATATTAAAGAAAAAATAACTAGCATCCACAAACAAGTTTTCTGTTTGTTCTTGTGTGTATGTTATATGTAGCCCACCTGCATGCACTGAACCCATAGGGGGCTGTAGGATAATTAATAGATGGATTGAAGAGAAGACATTAAGGAAAAATAACTGGTACCGGTCAACAAATTTTTTAATTCATTGGGTTGCATAAAGATGAAATAATTTGATTGCAGCAGATTCCTCGTGTCTTCATTAGTACCATTCTATTGCATATGGTAAACGAGTACCTCCATGCCAAAATGAATCATCAATTGCTCCGGCTTAGCTATCTGATACAATGCCAATGCACAGGCATGCTGCAATAATTGCTCTCTATGGTCCATGTTTATACTTGACTACTGGCATAAATCCAAATGAATCATCAATTGGTTCCTCTTTGTTTATGGTTCTGGTGCTCTTATTATTGGAATCCCCTTGCAGGATATGATCGAAAATGTGTTAGAGATAAAAGATACCCATGTTAGAGAGGTGATGACACCTCTTGTCGATGTAGTTGCAATTGATGCAAGCTTAACTCTTGTTGAGTTCCACAATTTGTGGTTGACTCATCAATATTCAAGGTAGATAATCTTAGTAATTCATCTCTTAGGTTCTTTTTAACTTAAAATAGCATGCAAAGGAATTTGTTGATATTTTCGCAGGGTGCCTGTTTTTGAGCAGCGTGTTGACAATATAGTGGGTATTGCATATGCTATGGATCTACTAGATTATGTTCCAAAGGTCAGAAAATTCCTGCTCTTAGTTTTTCTTTTTCTTATCATCCATAAGACTTGCTTATTAATGTATGGGACAATATCATAGTGTGCAGAATTATAATCTGTTTGATTTTGAAGGGTGAACTGCTAGAAAGTACTACTGTTGGAGATATGGCTCACAAGCCTGCATACTTTGTGCCTGGTAATTTTTAATCTTATTTTCTTCTATTGATTTCGTGCTTTGAGTTAATGTGCAGTTGAATTTTATCTTTCTATCTCAGTACGCATTAGGCCAGATGATGGCTGTTACTTCTGTTTATTACCATTCATTAACATGTTTTGTCAGCATTTCCCTATAGATTATATTCTGAGAAGCTATTACAAATAGAATTGTCAATTTGTTTTGCAGATTCAATGTCAGTCTGGAATCTTCTTAGAGAGTTTCGCATCAGGAAGGTTCACATGGCTGTTGTTCTTAATGAATATGGTGGAACCGTTGGAGTACGTGCTTTACCTAAAATTCTGAATTGATCTTGAATTTAGAGTTGTACTCCTGCATTATTCTTACCTGTTGAAGAACCTCAAAGTCAGATAGATTTTTGTTAAGAATGCACTTTTCACAGATTAAGGTGTTATGTGGAAGTGCCTCCGTAGCATAGCTAATCATGTGTTTCTATACCCACGTGAAATAGCATCATTGATTTGTATGGCATAACTTTAACTGATTTTCTATTCAAATTAATATGAGATTGAACTTGGAAAAGTTTACCTGCAGTTGAAAAGTTGAATGAGCTGTCAAGTGTTCCAAAATCCCTTTATCTGTTGTTAAAAATTAGTTGAAAGTGGAGTATCAATATGTTCAAATATTAGCAAACCCCAACAGGCAACAATTAATATGCATTTATACCCTCACGCCCTCTCTTTTGGATTACCCACTGTATATTCTTTTAGCTCATTGTTTATGATGGAACAGATAGTCACATTGGAAGATGTGGTTGAGGAGATTGTTGGTGAGATTTTCGATGAAAGTGATTCAAAAGTAAGGCTTGCTACATCTTTGATGACTTTATCAATGACTTCTGCTACATACTTTACCTTCTAATTATTTATATTTATTTGAAATGCTGCTTTTATTATTCCAAAATAAGGGGATGTTAGTGAAACTTGTCGAAGAAGTCCAAAATGAGTTAATATAATTAATCTGCTTCAAGTTTTATGCTTAATGGTTGATTTTGCTTGTTCTTATATTTATCCTACAATCTCCTCTATTTTGTGTTTTTGATCATCGTGTAAGTATGTTAGCATTGCATGTCTTCACTTTCACAAGATTTGGAGACGGAATGAGGATCAAGTAATATTATTTCATGACTATGCTATCAATGCATATGTGGACCTCAATAGCTTGTGGAATTTATTTTCAAGTTTCTGTGGTCTTAAATATTTTTAATTTTTCCTGCTATGACAGGAGGAGATCCAGAAGAAAACCGGCTACATTGTAATGCGAGCACAGGGAATCTTTGATGTTGATGCTAATACATCTATTGATCAACTTTCTGAAGATCTAAACATCAAAATGCCAGAGGTATGTTTCTTGTATTATTCATTATTATTGATATAAATCCTAATGCATAAGTCTTCACTCTACTTGCAAGTTTCTGCTAGTATAGTTGAAATGTTTATGAACATGCATTCAGATGTTAAAACAGAGGTTCTTCCGTTAATATCTATGCTAGAGTAAAAGGAACCATCAATCGGACGTCCCTCACAGTATGAAGAACTGGATCCACATATATAAAGTGTCTATTTGTCAATTATACAGGAATTCTCAACATATATGTTTTTTGCTTTTGCTGTTTTACAGGAACATCAATATGAGACAGTGTCAGGTTTTGTCTGCGAGACATTTGGATATATACCAAGGACAGGTGAGAGTATTAAGGTAGTCCTTGAAAAGGAAAACGAAGAAGATGATGATGAGAATTCCGAAGCTGGATCTGATCGCCAAGATCTGAAGGAAAGGCGCCAAATTTATAAACTTGAGGTATGGTTTGAACCTCTATGCCATATGCATTTATATTGCATAACATTGCTTTTGAATAATGTAACAATTATCTGAGTACGTTGTAATGTCATTGTTTATAAATGTTCCTCAAAGGAGTGTAGTTGGGAAACATACAGAATGAATGCGGTTAGAATATATAACATCTGGATTATGAATGAATTAGAATCTCCGAACCAAGTGCACAACAGTTGAAATGTCAAATATTTAGTCATCGGAATGAACTTTAGTCACTGTGACATTATCCTTATAAATCAGTGTTTTCTACCTTAATGGTGATAGCAAAGTGATCCATCTCCTTTTTTTCAGCCAAATCACTCAAATGTGATATTCTTCTGAGATATTGTGAGACTGATTGTCATTCTCAATCAGAATGAAACTGAACAAGAATGCTACACCTTCAAGAAAATGCTCATAAACATATGTATGTTACATACAGCTGAATGAAATTCATTAAAACCTCTATGAAGGAAACACTGATAAGCACTCATCATGGCATCTCTTCTTGTAGCCTTTTCAAATTACTACTGCTGCACATGACATAACGGCTGGTTTTACTAATGCAAGAGTTCCTCTCATTCTTATATTCTTTTTCAAAGGCTTAACTTAAATTTGTTACGTAAAGACAGCTTTTCTGTCTGAGTTTTCTATTGATTCCAAATTTTATTACATTTTCCTGCAAATATTTCATTGATCCGACAAACATATTAGGCCAGATGAGGCCAAAACTTGATCAGCTATATCACTAACACATTATTTTGGGCAACTTGTCTTCGGTGCAGATATTAGCAGGAAATGCCCGAAAAGTTAGTGCCATTCGATTTGAACGTGTAAACAATGAGGAAGCGTTATTAGATGCCACTGCAGTAACTTCGATGATTCCAAAAATCATCAAGAGGAAATGGAGCAGTGATGAAGACTCAAATAATGTTAACCACGATGAAGATACATTTGAAAAGAGGCAAGAGGATGACATCTCAGATCACCATGTCATTGCTGATTATAAACAGGATAATGAGAGTCCCAATGGACAGTAGTTATATTACACTATTTGTTTTCTCTCATTTCCCCTGAACAACCCCCTTTTCCCTTTCCCAATTTCTTACAGCTCCATAAGAAGTGATAAAAACTTGAAAAACGGGAGAAAGTAACCAGAATATGAGATTAGACCAACATTGTACAATTTTTCACAGATGAAGTGTAGTGTCAACATCTGAATCATTCAAGGTAGATGTATGCATGACAGTATCTCTCGGCCGTAAATTTGACAAACTTGGAGTCTCAATAACCTGACGCTGAGTATGCATGTTACGCATGCTAGGTTCACTGCTGAGAGATCCTTGGAGAGGCGGTCTAGGCTGAAGGATCAATTCAGAATGGAAAAACAACTGGGATGCCTCATGAGGTATGGCTGGATTGATCCGCTCTGCTTCAGAGAGCAGCCGCAAGACCTCTCTCTCCTGCCTCATTTCCTTGGCTCTCTGCAACTGTCTGAACCTCTCTCGCAGGAGGGCAATGGATGAATGAACAGCCGGGTCACTCTGCCTTCCCATCAGCAAAATGTACTGGGGAGATCAATGCTCTATAAGTTGGTCTGATGTTGCTCTATTCCTATATATAGGACATTGGTAAGCTTTGAAATCGCTAATCTATTCAATGTAAGCCCTTTAAACTGATTCTCAATGATGTAAAAGAAAAGGGTAGAATCGGCCGATGAGATGCAAAATCCAACAAGGCAGAGTTATGTAGCAATGTGTTGGGGTAAAAAGTACACGATATGAAGAAAAGGGTGGGAAATAAATCCAAACCGAGGTGGAATGTAGCATTTGGAAGGGTTTCTCATTGCAGAATAATAGGATGGTTGATGCTCTGTCGGCTTGTTGCCAAGAGCTATTGGCCTTGGGAGAAAATGGTGCACCTTATTGGTGGGGGATTTGGTGGGATCTTATATTATTCACCTTTCAACATTCTCTTTCCACTTTTGTTGGGAGGGCAAAATGAAAGTGGAGATTGAGGATGTCCAAGCAGGACAAGTGTTGGAACAGAATATGTTTTGGCCTTTGAAGTTGATGTTTTTCTCGATGGAACCCATTTTATGGAGAATAAAGAAGAGTCTCTCTCTCTCTCTCTCTCTCTCTCTCCATTTCTGTTTTGTCAGTAAGTTGTTGGATAGAAATGGCATGGCAGGAGAAAGCTATATTTATTGGATTCGTTTTGTGGCTCTTCTTGTTGGAATTCTCTAGTCTTTGAACTTAATGTTGGAAGAGTGGGCACAAGCTCAAAAGCAGCCTACCCAATCCATCCTAGTTATCTCATGCAATTTGTCAAGTATCTAGCTTTAGCCAAGCAAAATCATTGAAGAGTAGAATTGAGTGGTGCAACTTTTTTGAGCTTTTCTCTTGTCTGAGACCTCAAATATCAATGGTGATAGTGTTGGCAAACAGTACACATTAAAAGTCCGTGTCATATTGGTGAAAGATCATGTGTATTGGTTAGATATAGAGTTCAATTCCTGGCAGCCTCTTAACAAATCATTGCTGATGCAAAGGTACATGCAGAAAAGCAAGGGCTTCAAATTGTTTATTTGACAACATTAAAAAACAAAATGGAATATGGGATAAGGTGATTAAAACGTAGGTGGCAACAATGTAACAGTTAAAGCAGGCTATTGATAATCACAAAGTGGACAATTACTAACACAAGCTGCAAATTAATTGCTTTGGAATTGGTCTATGTCCTCAACAACCAAAGAATTGCTAACACAGGCCTAAAGCCATATTGCAGTTCTAACTAGAATCTAGGACTAAAAGCCTAAAGCTTTTCCGCAACTACACGTCCAGTTGCTATTGAATAAAGGGCCTGTGAATCTCCAGAATTTGAGTCCAATCTAGGCCTATATCTTTAGGCTCCCTTGTGTTTAAGTTCTGCTTTAAACAGTGAAGAAAAAGATTGACTGATGTTAATTGGAGATGGATGAAGCCTTTGATGTTAACTGGTTTTGCAAGACTAGAAATATGCCAACTTCAGTTTAGTACTTTGTTTATTGACTTGATTTCGAAAAACTATAGAACAATGTTATCAAAATGCAAGATCCATGAAGGCAGGAGATTAATCTAATATCCATACAAAAAGCAGACAATTAGACAAGATCATGCCTCCCTGTCAAGCTGCTCAATAGTCATCTGTCTCATAGAACGAACCATCTGATTATCCGAAGCACGAATTCTGGTAAGTCTGTCTTGCATACTCTGGAATGAAGGATGGTCAACTACTTGAGATATTCTCTCATGCTGCAGTGGATCCTCGTTGAAATTGATAAGAGCTTCTGCAGCATTATCCCTCAGCTCCTCTGAATCAGCATTTAACAATTCAAGGAGAAGAGGAACAGCTCCCGATTCAATTAGTGCCTCTTGATCTGCCCCATTATAACTCAACTGAGCAATAGCTCCTGATACAGTTTCCCTTACTTCACTGCTCTGAGACCCCAAAAGCTCAACCAAAAGGGGAATCGCACCTGAGTTTCTAACAACAGATACTGAGTGCTTGTAACCTGACAGATCCCAGAAAACATTAGCCGCTGCAGCTTTTGCTTCATCATTGCCTTCCCTGAGTATTCTCACCAAGCGTTCAGCTATTGAAACTGCATTTGCTTCAGCAACAGCTAATAGACAGAATGCATCCTCTGCAACCTCCTGACCAAGAGGTTCAGGTCCTTGAATAAGCTCTGCAAACAATGGAATAGCCCCAGCTTGAGCAACCGGACCAATGTAATCAATATGAGCTGAAATCACTCCAAGTGAATTGCCTGCCACAAGTTTTGTGCCACTGTCTCCAACTCGAAGCAACTCCACAAGCACAGGTATAACACCCAAATCAACAAGCATACGCCGAGCTCGCCTTGTAACTCCAAGTAACCCAATTGCTTGGCAAGCTCTTTCCCTGGATAGCATGTTACCAAAACTAGCTGCCTCGACAAGAACCGAAGCCCATCTAAGCCAACAAGTCCCCTCCTTACCACTCTCAACAATGATAATGCACTCAAATCTCCAACAAGTACCGCCTTACACTACCCATGGATGAATTTAACATGTTAACGATAATCTCCAAACCACCATTCATAGCAACAATGACCCGATTATCATCACACAAATTTACAAGACACCAAAGGCATTTCACAGCACTCTTTGAAAACTACCACCGATTCTGGCAACAACCTCAATATCGAAAGCAAAGCACCAGATTGGCCTATCTCAGTGGCCAATCTGCATCTCCCTGACGAGCAATACATTTTAAGCATAAACAACCACTCTTGAAGATAAAGACTTGAATTATTCGAACTGTGATCAGCAATAAGATTAGCAAGAATCGGCACGGCACTGCCCAAGATAGATACTGGGGCATGATTTGATATGTTGAGCAATTTGAATTATGGCTTTTAATACGCATGGCCTCAGGACACTATCAATCACCATTTCCAGGTGATTCAACGCTTCTTCCCAATTTGGGTTCATTTTTTTTTCTAAATTCACCAAATTAGCAAACTTGAGCCTGATACAAGATTTCAAACCAGGGAAGTTCTGTATATTAAAAGGAAACAAAATAACATGAAAACAAGATTCAAAGAAGAAAAAGTTTCATATCTTGAGAACCCAGAAGGTATGTGCATAAAGCAAAATCAATCAATCAATTTTTGATAATCAGAAAGGAAATGGAAATTTTAATGGGAATTACTGTTCAGATTAGAAGAAGACAAGACAAGGGTATTGCTATATACAGACAGAACATAAAACCATGCTAAAGGTAAAGAGGAAAAGCAGAAAGTACCCTTCTGGAACAGATGTTGAAAATTTGAAGAGTTTTGGAAGAAATCAAAGACAAGTCATCGCACCAACATTTGTAAGTAATAACATGAGCTACATCGGTACGAGGTTAAGTAACTGACTTCGCAGTTCTTTTTTTTTTTTTCCTTGTCTTTTTCTTTATTTCTTTTTTTTTTCCAGCAAGGCAAGAGTTGATTTGTAAATAAAATAAATAATAATTGGTACCATATGACTGTATAAAATGTAGAAGGAAAATTATACTAAATATTTAGAATAACTTATTTTTTTTAGTACTTACCTTATATGTTTCTCACTATTGATTTGTAAGGATAAAATATTACTAGAATAACAAATAATTCATTTTTTAATATCATATTAACCAATAATTAACTGTGCTAACAAGATTGGCAAAATACACGTGATTGGAAAAAATGCATAACAAAATCACACATAACCAGTTAGAACAATAAAATCATTATCATGCATTAATTCAAGTGACAAGAGAATTTAATTTTTTTAATTACCTCAAATTTAAATATATTAAAATTTGTAAAAAGATAAATTCATTAAAATATTAATATTTGAACCATTAAATATATATATATATTTATTTATATATTAACGAATCTAAAACTTCAAAACTAAAAATGTGGAGCCAAATTTGAAAAAAAAAAATAGTTTCTGATTTGATGAGATATATTCTTGGTTGTTCCTCTAGAAAAATCATATTAGCAATAAAATTTAGTAAAATTTGACAATAAAGAGGAGAGAAATTTGGTAAATAAAATATAAACATGATAATTCATATATTCGTATCATGTAAAATAATAATAATTCATATATCTAAATAATTTTTAAGCAAATTATATGAGATAATTTATATTGATGTAAAAATATAAAATATTTTTTTAATTTTATTAAATTTATTATAATTTTTATTAAAATTTTAAATCATATCACATTTATATTTTTTATTAGTATCATTTTCATGTTATATCATTATATCGTATTTTAAATTATTAAAGACTTAAACTGCCCGAAAATGAGAAAATAAAACAGCATTAAAATTTTAAAGTATATTTAACATCGAAAAATATCCAGCCAATGCTTTAGCAATTGGTCACCCCACTCTCTAAACAAAAAGCCTAAGGATTAAAAAAAAAAAAAGAAAATAAAAATATGACACAAAAATTGTTGGCATCACTTTAACAGTCACATACAAAAAACTTAAATTTGTTTTTGCACTCTTCCCCTAGCTATTGAATCTTGTAATCAACAGATAAATTTTGCTTTCTCAGAAGCTTCCGGGTGATCTGTTCCATCTGTTCAACATGGACACCCGAGAGAACAGATCAACTTGGCCGTAAACCCTGCGAAATTGAAGTAATCAGAAACAAAAGCAAGTTATGATGCATTTCAAGTAGACTTGATAATTTCAAATATAACATGAAAATAATACAAATAAAAACGTAAAAATAATACGATTTAAAATTTTAATAAAAATTATAAATAAGTTTAATAAAAACCAAAAATATATATTTTATGTTTTTATGTCAACACGAATTGTGACATAATTTTTGTGTAAAACAAGACATGAATATATGAATTTTTAGTATTTTATACGATACAATAAACAAATTACAAGGTCTAATTTCAAGCAATTTTTTCCATAAAAAGAAGCTCCTAACTTGGACACTGTTTAACTCTGAGGTTTGATGAGACCATATGGTTTT